TTGCACTTGCTCCTTTTGCAAATAATTTTAAGTCTGTGCCCTCTGGTTTTCAATTCTGTTAGAAGCAGGAGCACTTCCTCCATATTTACTTTGTCCAGACGCCTGACTTTGAAAGCCTCTATTAAATACACTCCAGCCTTCTCCTCTCAGGAAAATAGTCTCAACTTCACAAGGCGAGGTACCGAATACAAAAGCAGAAAAAAAATGTAACATCAGAATTATAGGAATCGCTGGTTAGGCTACAGCTGAAGTTGTGTATGCAGTTCTAGTTACTATATTACAAGAAGGACATAATTGCTGAAAAGACAATACAGAGAATATTTACAAGAATATTGCCAGGGTTTGAAAATTGCAACTATGAGGAAAGTTTGGATAGTCTAAATTTGTTTTCCTTAAGGAGGATGCTGATGGGTGACTTAGTTGAGATAAACAAAACAATGAGGATGACAACAAATGCTGGAGATCACAGTGCATCAGACAACATCCATGGAGAGATAGCAAGCTAATGTTGAGTCTAGATGACTCTTCATCAGAGCTGAAGTGAAGTGTAGAGAAGGGTTGCATTTATGCCACAATTGCAGAGTTTGTGGGGGTGAAGTATATAGTCCTGGTGGAGAAAAGATGTTCTGAACTATCAACATAATCTTTTCTCCAGAGTTAATATGTCGGGTAGAGTGGCCTTTCCTCAGCTCCTGTCCTCATTAAAGCCTTGGTTCAAACATGGACAAAACAGCAGATAGAGAGGTGAGTTGAGTGTGACAACCCCTTGACATGAAGGCCACATTTGACCAAGTGTGATATCAAGGAGCCCTGACAAAACTGGAATCAATAGGTATCAGGAGGCAAACTCTCCACTGGTTACAGTCATACCTGGCACAGAGGAAGACGGTTATGGTTGCTGGAGCTCCAGACGTCTCTGCAAGAGTTCCTCGGGGGACTGCCCGAAGCGCAACCATCTTCAGCTGCTTCATCAATGGTCTTCCCTCCATCATAAGGTCAGAAGTGGGGATGTTCACCAATGATTGCAAATATTCAACAACTCCTCAGATAATGAAGTGGTCCATGTTTAAATGCAACATGATCTGGGCAATGTCCAGGCTTGGGCTGACAGTGGCAAATAACATTTGCACCACATAAATGCCATGCAGTTACCACCTCCAGTAAGAGACAATCTAACCACAGACCCTTGACATTCAATGATATCACCATCACTGAATCCCACATTGTCAACATCCTGGAGATTACCATTGACCAGAACCACAACTAGACTCACCACTGCACAACAGTGGCTACAAGTGCAGGGCAGATGCTAGGAATACTGCAGCAACTAACTCACCTCCTGACTCCCCAAAGCCTGTCCACCACTTACAAGGCACAAGTCAGGAGTGTGACCGAATACTCTCCACTTGTCTGGATGGGTGTAGGTCTAACAACACTCAAGAAACTGGACACAATCCAAGACAAAGCATCCTGCTTGATTGGCACCATATCCATAAGCATTCACTCCCGCCACCACTATTGTACAGAAGCAGCAGTGTGTATCATCTACAAGATGCACTGTAGAAATTCACCAAAGGCTCGTTAGACAGCACCTTCCAAACCCACGACCACTTCCATCTGGAAGGACAAAGGCAAGGTAGATATATGGAACACCACGATCTGCAAATTTCCCTCCAAGCTACTCACCATGCTGACTTGGAAATATATCACTGTTCCCTCACTGTTGCTGGGTCAAAATCCTGAATCTCCTCCCTAAGGGCATGTTGGGTCAATCATCTGTATGTGGGTTGCAGGCATTCAAGAAGGCAACTCACCACCACCTTCTCAAGGAACTAGGGATGGGCAATAAATGCTGGCCAACCAACAATGTCATGTCCCACATGTGGAGATATGCACAATGCACATGGACATGCTACCAAGTCCGGAATGCATCAAATTATAGAATCATACCAAGGTGAAATCAAAGTCAAGTACAGCAAACATTTTATTAAATCGGCATGTACGGTACCGGGAGTGGTACTGGTTGATCAAGAGGTCCACATAATAAATGTAAAAACACACACCAACTAACAGAAATATAATCCAGGGGGTATACACACATTGCTGCTAAGCTTTATTTACAACATAAATCACTTAAATAATAACAAATAAAACTTATCGGCAGACAGCCTTCTCACTTCATTAACTGACTACCCAGACGTCGCAGAATCACAATGATACGGTAAACTTCCGGTATTTCAGGTATATAATCGTTGCCAGTTTATTGTTCCATATATCTACCTTGCCTTTGTCCTTCCAGATGCTGGTTCATAAGGAGCCAGTTAAAACAAAGCCTGCTGCACATAATTCATTAAATAAACAGGATGGCAGGCAAAAATCAACCTATTTCCATTAGTTCAATTGACACAAACAAATAGCAATTTCAAATCAGTTAGATGTCTAATTGTGAATGTGAAGCAACTTCCCAGGTTGCATAAAGATTGTGCTTAAACTTTAACATTTCTTTTAATTCTAGTCTTGGCAGAGCATCATGCACAAGACCATCATTTACAATTCAGCATCAATACTAATCTTTATTAGCATGACAGACAATATTCCCCTTAAAACTTTAGATGTTGTGCGTGATGTATTTTATTAAGGATGCCGTTCCTTTTGGTATTTATTGCACGACTGCACAAGGCATCACTTATCACAGAATAATGTTGGTGAGGTGCTTTTCAAGGAACATAGAAGCCACACAGGTAAATCCCAAATGGATTTAATGTTTCATGCTATATCTTCTATTCTAAATATAAACAGTTGAATTCTAGGAAAGGGACACAAAGGCAAATTTCCTCTTTGTCATAACTGAAAGATGGACTTCTGGCAACCTTTCAGAGTTTGTAGTTTGAGTCTACATCCTCAGTGGAAACACTGCTTTTGAAAAATGGTGGTCACTCGATGGATTTGAGAGAAAAAGCAAAGTCTTTAAAAAGCTTCCTTTCTGAACAAGTCAATGCCTAGTCACAGTAGTAGGTAGCAGAGCACCAAGTACAATTGTTAAAAGGTAAAGATCCACAGACTCCCTGTTGTTATTGCTAGGTAGCCTTTACCATGGTCTAAGTGGCCACTGGTTCTCAGTTTACATTTCAGAACACAATTGAATGAAGAATACCTGTAGGTCTGTACATTTACATAGTTAAAAACATCTTGAAAAACATTGAAGAAACTTAGCACGTAGAATGCCTGTGGAAACCAAGCATTTCATGAGCTAAACCTTTGAGTTATTTTACTTTTAAGTAGAAAATGAATTTGCTACTACTTAACTAGGGGAAAGAGTACTCAACAAACATGCAGATTTATCAGTTTAGTCCAACAGGTAGCACACTCTCCTCTCAGTATACAATCTAAGCTACCCTTCCAACACTGTACCAAACATTATTCAAGATACAGTTTTTCTAGATAACACTGAGGACCTGACGCCTGTTCAAGCTGATTTGAAAGCTATGTTCGGTTGGTTAGAGGAACAGAATTCCTGATGGATGGGATGAAGTGAGTCATCTATAAACTGATCTATTTAAAATTTAAATGTATACCTGATTACTCGATGTTAGAAATCATCCAATTCATTTACTGAAGTGACAGTCCTGTAATAGTTCAATCATCCTGTTCATCTATTGCACATTTTGTACAAAACTACAAACATTAACAGAAAGGAGGGGGAATTTTCAAATATACAGACAAAAAAAAAGTTCCAAAAGTAAGCCTGAACTGTTTAAAACATCATCCCTCCGAATATATCATACATCAGTGGATAAACACATCTTATGGTCCAAAACACAGAAAATACTGGCTATAAATCTCAGGGTCAATCTTTAATCTTTACTCTATTGTTAGTTAATTTCAACCAAGCCAGTTAGAAGATTCTAGTCATGGGAACAAACAGGAATCCATAAAGTTGTGCATCTGACTAGGGTCAGGGTCCTGAAAGTACAAAACTGTGGGCACGCAGCTTATGCAAAAATCAAAAGCTTATGTCAACACAGGGCCTGACCTGGATATCATGGTCTCCACAGTTGAGAAATCTATCAACACTTGTTATGAGGCAACGTCCTGACTCCTGCTTATCTTTCAGCTAACACAAAAGAAACAAATTGCCTGGTCATTACTACACTGCAGTTTGAAAGACATTATTATTTAATCTGGTTGCCACATTTCTTTATGTTGAAACAGTGACAATATATCAAAAGTAACTCACTGGCTGCCCTGAGATCCTGAAAGGCACAACATAAGTAAAGTCTTTATTGTTGTTTCTCTCATAACTCTCACAGGATATTTAGTTATTCTTGGTAAGGGATCAGAGACCTCTGATTTAGCAAGATTCCTCTTCCCTCCTGTAAGTGTCACATTTGTATGATTTTCTCCCAAATGCCCAACTGCACTTTGCTGAGACTAACAGCAAATGAGATATACGGATCAAGATGGTCCCAGAATCAACCTGGTCGTTTGCCACACAATAGCAATAATATTTTGCCAATTCGGAGCTGATTTTCTTGGACAGTCAGGACAAGGGTACAAGCAGAAAAATCACAGAGCATGAGCACCAAACCTATTCAAAGTCGGTTCTTCCAGTGTTGTCAATAAAAAGCGAAATGACAAAAAGTTATGATAGATGGATTTTAAATGTAACTTTGTGATGTTCAAAGGCATCAAGATCAGTCTGGTGTAGAGAATTAAAACAGTATTCTTTCACCCAAGAGTGAGGATTTGTGAATTGTTGAGGCACTGTTTGGGGAATTGGTTGAGTGCAGGCAAGAGACCAGAGAGGGAAAAAAAATGGCAATTTACAAGGTACTCAATTTTGCTATTGCGAGCAAGTTGTAGAAAATATGTTCAATTCCACAGTATTGATATCCCTCACTGCAAAGCACAAGATGAAAATACAAAAGTTAAACAAACAAAATGAGACATTTTAGCAAATATCACAAATGGAAAATGAAACATTTAAAGTAAGTACATACCTGCAAGACCCAAAAATGCAGCTAGGTAGCGAGTTTCAAGGCCATCTCTTACGGTCTGAATTGCACCATATATAGGAGGTAGAATCATTATCAGGTTACTTACAGTATTCCCTGCAAAATTAGGAGAGAGTAAGTGAGTGAGGGTTGTGCCAAGGAACCAATAACTGTTGCAGAATTCAGTCTGCACAAAAAGTACAGCTGAATTCAGAGTACAAGTAAAAACTGAAAGGACTGTGGATGCTGTAGATCAGGAACAAAAACAGAAGTTGCCGGAAAAGCTTAGCAGGTCTTCCTCAGAACTGGAGGACCCTTCTCAGTTCTGAGGAAGGGTCACTGGACCTGAAACGTTAACTCTGACTTTTTTCTTCACAGATGCTGCCAGACCTGCTGAGCTTTTCCAGCAACTTCTGTTTTTGTTTCAGAGTACAAATACATTGGGATTTAGCAACGTATCTTGGTCAATGATATCTACAAATAATTTAGAAAGCTCTTCTGGTGAAACAAGACGCTTGACAAACCAAGTAGTTGAGCCATGCAAACCAGGAAGGCAACAGTCCATGAAAATGACCAAATGAGCTGACCTTAGCCAAGATAGCAGACATAACTAACTCCAGTACATGATTTCTTTTCTTCTACTCAGAATAATGTCACATCATCTTTAACGTCGACCCGAGTCACTGGAAGAGGCCTCTGAATTTCTATGTTCTTTTTAAATGTTATTTTTATTTGTTAATGGGACATGAACATCGCTGGTTAGGCCTGCATTTGTAGCCCATTGCTCATTGCCCTGAAGGTGATGGCGATGGGCTGTCTTCTTGAAGCACTGCAGTCCTTGGGGTGCAGGAACACCCACAGTGTCGAGAAAGAGGGAGTTCCAGAATTTTGATGCAGTAACAATGAAACGTGTGGCTAAAGGAGTGGTGCGGGATGGAGGAGTTCTGTTTCATGGGACACTAGCATCTGTATTGGAACAGGAGAGATCTGTACTGTTGGGATGGTCTCCACCTGAAACAAGCTGGGACCACTGTTCTAGCAAAAAGAATAAATAGGGTGGTCAAGAGGACTTTAAACTAAAAAATGGAGGGGAAAGGAAAGGGTAAATCTCCAAGTAGTATAATGGCCAATGGGAAACAAAGCAGCAGGTTAACATCTACGTGGGTGAATTCAACAGCATAGAGAAGTATGAAAAAAAAATAAAATGAAAAAAGAGAATTCAGGAAAGGTTATTAAACTCTCCAGAACACAAAATAGGACAGAGTATTTGGAAAGAGTTAGGAATCTAACTTGAAGCACATCGGATAAAGGGATGATGTCGAGAACAGCAATAGTAAATACAGGACTGAAGGTGTTGTTTGATTGCACGCAGTATACGAAATAAGGTAAATGAGCTTGTGGCGCAGATTGACATTGGTAGGTATGATGTGATGTGATGGGCATCACAAGAGATGTGGCTGCAAGGGGATCGGACTGGGAGATAAATATCCAAGAATATACATCCTATTGAAAAGACAGGCAAGTGGACAAAGGGAGTGGGATTGCCTTATTAATAAGTAAGAAATGAAATTAAATCAATAGCAAGAAACAACGTAGGGTCAGATGATGTAGAATCTGCGTGGCTGGAGTTGAGGAAACACAAAGGTAAAAAGAAAACCGTAATGGGAGTTATGTACAGGCCTCCAAATAATAGTCAGGATGTGGGCACAAGATACACCTGGAGACAGAAAAGCCGTGTAAGAAAGGCAAGTTATAGTGTTCATGAGGGATTTCAATATGCAGTGAACTGGGAAAATCAGGCTAGTAGTGGATCGCAAAAGGAATTTGTGGAATGTCTACGAGATGGCTTTTTGGAGCAGCTTGTGTTGGAGGCCACTAGGGAACAGGCAATTCTGGATTTAGTGATGTGTAATGAGACAGACTTGATAAGGGAGTTTAAGGTGAAGGAACCCTTAGGAGACAGTGACCATAACTTGATAGAATTCACACTGCAAATTTGAGAGGGAGAAACTGGAATCAGATGTAATAGTATAACAGTTGAACAACGGCAACTACAAAGGCAGGAAGGAGGAGCTAGCCAGAATCGACAGAGAGGATCCTAGCAGGAAAGGCAGCAGAACAGCAACGGCAGGAGTTTCTGGGAGTAATTTGAGAGACACAGCAAAAAATTCAACCCTAGAAAAAAGCAGCATGGTATAGGGAGAACGAGGCAAACTTGGCTGACTAGGGAAGTCGGGGACAGCATAAAAGCAAAAGAGAAAGCATATAATGCAGCAAAGGGCAGTGGGAAGCCTATGAAGAATAACAGAGGAAACTAAAAAGAAATAAGTGCGGAGAAAATAAAACATGAGGGTAAGCTAGCCAGTAACATAAAAGAAGACTTAAAGAGTTTCACTTGCTGGAGAAATAGTAATGGGGAAACTAAAAAAAAAAATGGCGGAGGAGCTGAACCAATACTTTGTGTCAGTCTTCAATAAGAGTAACATTCCAAAGATTCAAAAGTGTCGGGTTGGGGGGGGGGGGGGGTGTGTGCGTGTGCAAGGTGAGTATGATGGCCATCACCAAGGAGAAGGTGCTAGAAAAACTGAAAGACCTGAAGGTGGATAAATCACCTGGACCACATGGACTATACCCAACAGTTTTGAAGGAGATAGCTGAAAAGATAGCGGAGGCATTAGTGGTGATCTTTCAGGAATCACTGGAGTCAGGGAGGGTCACAGAGGACTGGAAAATCACTAATGTAACCCCCCGTTTAGAAGGGAGTAAGACAGAGGTAGAAAGTGGGGATAAAAAGGGTCATTCTCATGATGGCAGCTGGTGACTAGTGATGTTCTGCAAGGATCAGTGTTGGGACCACAACTTTTCACTTTATATATTAATGTTCTGGATGAAGGAACTGAGAGCATTCTGGATATGTTTGCAGATGATACAAAAATAAGTGGAGGGACAGATAATACTGAGGTGGCACGAAGGCTGCAGAAGGATTTAGACAGATTATGAGAGTGGGCAAAGAAGTGGCACATGGAATACAACATGGGAAAGTGTGAGGTCATGCACTTAGGTAGGAAGAATAGAGGCATAGACTATTTTCTAAACCGGGAGAAAATTCAGAAATCTGAAGTGCAAAGGGACTTGGGAGTCCTAGTCCAGAATTCTCTTAGGGTAAACTTGCAGGTTGAGTCAGTATTTAGGAAGGCAAATGCAATGTTGGCATTTATTTAATGAGGTCGAGAATATAAAAGTAGGGATGTACTTCTGAGGCTTTATAAGGCTCCGGTCGGACCACATTTAGAAACTGGGGAGCAATTTCAGGTCCTGGACCTCAGGAAGGATGTGCTGGCCTTGAAGTGGGTCCAGAGGAGGATCATGAGAATGATCCCCGGAATGAAAGGTTTAACATATGAGGAATGTTTAAGGACCCTGGGCCTATACTCAATGGAGTTTAGAAGGATGAAGGGGGAATCAGCCTGGACAGAGTGGCCTTTGGGAAGATGTTTGCATTAGCAGGAGAGACTAGGGTCCCAAGGGCACAGCCTTAGAGTAAAGGGAAAACCCTTTAGAATGGAGTGAAGGAGAAACTTCTTCAGCCAGAGAATGGTGAATCTATGGAATTCATTGCCACAAAGGCTGTGGAGGCCAGGTCATTGAGTATAGTTAAGACAGAGATAGATTGATCCCTTGACAACCAAAAACCGAGGGTCACAGGGAGAAAGCAGGAGAATGGGGTTTAGAAACTTATCAGCCATGATTGAATGGTGGAACAGACTCAGTGGGCCAAATGGCCTAATTTCTGATTCTATGTCTTGTGGTCAAACAGTGTAATAGTTACAAGTCAGGAGGGGAAATTCAGGTGGTGGTAGAACTTGCAGATAAGATGGCATTGTCCTGTCAAGGTTGGCATTCATTTCCCATACCTAGTTGCCCTATGAAGATGCTGATGGATACCCTCATTGAACTGCTGTAATTTCTAGATTCTTTGTAGAAGTCTGAAAGAACTGAGCGACTTGCTAAGCCACTCCAAAAGACAGTTAAGCCATGTTGTTGTCAGATATAGGGCCAGACCGAGTAAGAACAAATTTCCTCCCCTAAAAAATAAATGGGCCTGTTCAAACCAGCCTGAAGTTTACTGTAATCCTGAAGCTTCAGAGTCACCTTCATCAAGGCCAAAGCTCTTGTTAAACTCATGAGCACATCCCACTCAGTAGTCTGAAAGTGTGGCATATACTAAATAGCAGGGATGTGTGTGTAAGGAAATGCCAGGCACACACATGATGAGGTCTCTAACTTAATCCTCCTCTGCACATTCTCTTGGTAGTTTAGACAGCTTGTAGAAAACTACATTGCTCCACTTCTAGGCTGTTTATGCAATGTGTCTGAACAATATCAAGGAGAGGTTCCTTGAGGGCAGTGGGAGGCTCCTGTACCATGTACCGAAATGTACTAAAATCTCTTTTACCAAAATCAATCATCCCCTTTAATGGCAGCTTTTAGACAAGTCTGTTAGAATACTTTGAGGGCGTGACAATCAAGTTAGACAAAGGACAGCCAGTCACCGTGATCTATTTGGATTTCAAGAAGTGCGGCACCTTGTTAAAGTCCTGGACGCTGTTAAATAAGATCGAGTCCATGGTATTAGGGACAAGGTACTGGCACAGATAGAGGATTGGCTGGCTGGCAGAAGGTAGAGAGTAGGGTTAAAGGGGTCTTTTTCAGGATGGGAGTGGTGATTAGTGCAGTTCCACAGTGGTTCATGTTGAGACTACAACTATTCACATTATACATTAATGATCTAGATGAAGGCCCTAAGGGCATTGTTGCTAAGTTTGCAGGTGACAAAGATAATTGGAGGGACAGGTAGCGTCTAGAAAGTGGGGAGGCTGCAGAAAGAATTCAACAGTATCAGAGAGTGGGCAAAGAACTGGCAAACGGATACAATGTGGGAAGGTATGACGTTATGCACTTTAGTAGGAAAAAATAGAGGCATAGACTATTTTCTAAGAGGGGAAAGGCTTCAGAAATCTGAAGCACAAAGGGACTTGGGAGTCCTAATTCAAAATTCTCTTACGGTTCACATGCAGGTTCAGGTGGCATTTAGGAAGGCAAATGCAACTT